GAGACAAGATTATAGTGTTGTGTGCCTGTAATCCCAATGCTTAGGAGGCTGAAAACAGGAGGATCACTACAAGCCCTATCTGTGTAGTGAGACCCTGTACTAAATACAAAAAAAAAAAAAAAAAAAAGGATAAGCCAGCAACCACTTTGGAGAATATGATAAAATAATAATTTCTTACTTGACTGCCTCGTGAATATTGTTGGAAGTATGTCCTGATAAGGCATCATGTAAATTTCGGATAAAATAATCCCTGTATTCTTCCGGAAGGGCCATAAAAGTTCCACCCATGACGATGAACTCAACTTTATCCACATTGTGACCAAGCTGTTTTAACTGAAAGAAAAATAAATTTATCAGCATTAGGAAGTTATAGGTAACTGTTCTAACAGGGTATCACAAGAGTGCTAATTTTATTTTGCAATGATTCATTAAAGATGAGAAGCATTAAACATATTTAGCCTCAATAAAATTATGGGAAAAAAAAACATACTTAGTAAATTCTGTAGAAAAAATACCAAAGTTGAAAAGAAAAAAAAAAAAAAACTGCTTATGGGAGGGAGAGAAAGATGAACAAAAAGGCTGACTTCAATGCTGAAGTCATGTGGAACTTAAAAACCACAAGGACTATAAAGTAGGAGGCAGTAAAGACAATATACTACCAAATGTGATACAATAAATATTAATGTGCAATACATCTTATGTCAGAGTCTGTGATAAGCCCCGGGGACAAAAAAGATACATTTCTGATTATGAAACAATTATGCACGCATGATTATACAACACAATCAGGACTTCACAGAATGAGGAAAAAAGAACACTAAAATTAAAAAATCAAGAAATCAGTTTACAATTGAAGACCTAGGCACCAATGACCCCTCAAGCTTACCTTCTGAGAAGAAAAGAATCACAAAAGTGAATGATTGATTAAAAATGAAAGATTATGTCTCCTCTACTAGGCAATATAATGACATAAATCTTTCACTCTGTCAACTACAATAAGCTAAGATCGTAATTTTTAAAAATAGGTCTTTAAATTTCTTATTGTATCCTTAGTCTTGAGGAAACCAGGGTCAAACAAAATGCCAAATTATAAACTATACTATACTACACTACACTATACTATACCATGTAAGGCTTAATTAACTATACTAATTAAGACATAAGGGTGCTTTTTTATATTTCTTTTCTGAATATGGCAAATAACAACTCATACTCTACATATGCATATATTATCTATGCTTCAACACTAAAAGTACATTCCACTCCTGTATCTATGATTGTTCTAATGCAAACATATCAAAACCACCACAATGGTATTTTTAAAATAATCTTGCAGGACTCCACAGGTGAGAATCTGCCCATCTGTGGAAGTGACTTGAGGATTATGGAGCACTTATAGTTAGAAAAGAATCATCCCTCTGTTTGAGTTTCCAAATCTCTGAAACTCAGGCTCCTTTTTAGTAAACATGAACATTTCACACTCTAATGAAACATAGCTCTTCATTTTCAAAGAGTTAAATGCCATAGCTTAAAAAAAAAACCAACAAAAAAACTAAAGCCAAGGCTGGTTTAGAACATGCTTTTCCAAGCTATGCAAGCTCCTCAGAGGGGTCCACTCCTACGGCTGCTGATCTTGTCCAAGAGTATGTTTGGATGATAGTGAAGTGAAAGTCAGAGCCAGGCTAAGCAACAGTTAAACTGTGGAACGCTTTATTGAGTATAGTATATGCCATTACAACTTTAGGCCAAATGTTTGCCCCACTATGTGTTACTACAATGACGGTTTACATTTTTATAACTGGACAAATTTAAAATGAAGTTATAAAAAAAAGAAAATCTGTGTCTATGTTTAGATTTCTAGAACAGCACAAGGTCATTTGCACAGTACTTGTTTTTAATCAGTAAAGCAGAGATTTAATTTTATATGCAGCAAAACCCATTACCTATAAATTGACAAAGGGCAAGCTTTGGTAACCATTTAGTTAAGTAGCAGAACCACCACTGAGGTCAGAATACAGAACAAGTCCATCAGCCCGGGAGGTTCCTCACACCACTCTGCAGCCAATTCTGGCAAACCAGTCACAACACTTGTTGGTTCCATTTCTGAAATCTACAATTCAATCCACCCACTACCATCTAAGAATTTCACACTTTCATTCCCTAAACTTCATACCATGGGACTTTCGACAGAATAGAACGTGTAAAGAAACAATACAGTCTCTACATAAAGTAAAAAAAAAAAATAAAAAAAAAAAATTCCACATTTGGGGCCAGGGAGATGGCTCAGTAGAATATGCGCTTGCCTGGCAAATGCAAGGGCCTGAATTCAAGCCCCAATTCTGCCAAAAAAGGGGAAATCTACATAAAGTAGTGTTTTTGACCATGCCAGACATTGCAAAATGTAGTCTCCTTTCCTTGGACAAGTATGGACAACTTAGAAAGGAGAAATACACTCTTATTTTTTATTTCATAATAAAGCAACACTATCTTAAGTGTAAAAATCTAACTGAAAATGTTACTTCAGGGGCATAAGGGAGAGAGTAGGTAATAAGAGGATGGATACAATCAAAATATGCTATATGAATGTAAGAAAAATATTACAGTGAAAAAAATCAATACACATTAACGATTTTAAAAAAGTAATGCTTTTTCTAAATTTACCTGTTCTAGCCGGTGTCTCGTCTGTAGATAAGGGTCGTATCTGGCACGAATAGCTCGCATGGAAGTTGGCTGAGAGAAAAAGAAAAAATACTGTCATCTCATCAACTTAAAAAGTAGCTCCGAAAAGATGTGCTACAAATAAAACTCTCTGTGGTTTGAATACTAAAATTTTGTCTCGCAGCACATCTTTCATTCTCGGCCATCCTGGGCAGCCTCTGGCTAGCCCCCGCCGCTCGCCAGCAGGCCCTCCACAGCAGGGGGGCTCCAGGGATCTCATCTGCCTTCCGGGTGAAGGCTTATAAAGTCCTCAGGGCCTCCAGAGTGTCCTACTACTCACACAGACGTGCACACAAACACAAAGATATATGTGGCAAAACGACCTACAAAACAAGGTTCTTAGGCACACACAGCTTGTAATGACTTAACAGCCCTGAAGCTACCTCCTGCAACGGAATACTCCACAGCCATGAAACAACGTGCTGGTATACAATGTTCGCAGAGATATGCAGTAGTCAAAGGCAAGTGCAGAACACTGCTTTCACACACTATATGTGTGTGTACGTTTTTAGACCCACAAAATATTGTTGAAGGATGTGGAGGGAAGAGGTAACCCTGACTGCCCACTGTGAGGAGAAGCAGGACAGGGGACTAGAAGACAGACATAAGGGGAAGCTTCACTGAATGACTTCTTTTGTATTTTTAAAAAATTGGAACCACTAAAAATCAAGGGAGAGATGAAAGCAATTTATAAGAAGAAAATGTCACTGGACTCGCTGGTCTCTGGCCTCTTCTGAAGAGGGTGACCCCTTCTAATGCAGATGACTGGCCTCCTGTCCCCACCCTACTTACTCCTTTTGCCACATGGCCACCATAATGGACTTTTTTTTTTTTTTTTTTTTTTTTTTTGTGGTACCAGGGACTGAACTCGGGACCTTGTGCATGCCAGGCAGGCACTTATGCCACTGAGCTGTCTTCCCGGCCCACCATAATGGATTTTTAAAAAATCAGGGATCATAGGATGACCTTGCTTTAAACCCTGACAGTTCTCCTGATGCCCTTAAGACTCCATTCCCTGGCTTGCAAACCCCAGCAGTCCTGCAGCCTCTTGGGTTCTCCCTCTTCCCTGTGCTCCAGAACGCCCTGCATCCTTGCTCGCAGCCTTCTCTGTACTATGAATGCAGCCTCCTGCTGGTGGCCTCCCCAGAGAATCTCTGCTTAACACCATGGTGCCCTTGGCCTCACGCAATTACACTTCTCTGCTCAGCATCTGAGGTTGCTCTTGATTCCTTATTGCCTGTCTGCCACGGGTAAAATGGAAAGCAGTAAGAGTACAGAGCTGCCTTGTGCTGGCAGTGCCTCTGCGCCAGCTATTTAAGCCCTCTATGCTCCAGTGTCCTCGCCTGTATAAGCAGGACAGCTACAGCATTTATCTCCCAAACACTGCTGTGAGATTTAATGCTGCAAAGCACTTAGGACAGTGGCTGGAATTTATCAGCGCTAAGTTCTCCAGTGACGCGAACAATGTACAGCACGATAAGCACAGGGCAAATACTTGGTGAATCAACATCTTTGATACTCAGAAAAGAAAGCTAGAACTTCTCAGAAAGCTAGTCCTTGTGAAGCCACACTCTGGGTAAAATATGATGTGACACTTCATCAGGACAACCTCAAAGTGCTGTACCTCATATCCGGTGTAGGACTGGGTAGAATATTCAAAGTCTGAATCAGGTCCACCAGGGCAGTAGCTGGCAATACAGTGAAAGAAAAAGGGGTCAGACACAAAACTTAGCTCAAGAATCAACAGTCTCCACAAGATCCTGGAATCCAACAAGTGCACTCCAAATCCTCACAGAACCGTGTACCTGCACAGTATCTACAAATAACGAGCTTTCCACCAGTAAGTAAACAAGATATCTAGGTAAAGGAATAGAATCACATTCACTTTCAAAATATTGTAGTCACTGTTACTTCAGAGGTAACAACAGGAACCAAGTTTTCCTGCATGAATCAATAATCCTAGTGTTCCCTTATAACACACTCAGGAAAACCTCACCCATTTAACATTCCTACCTACTGTCATGCATATGCTTCTGCTAATTCTTTCAAATATCTAAATTTCAGAAATCTGAAACTTTTATAATTCTATTTTTTGTTACTCTTCTAATCCAAATTCACTTTAAATTTCTGACACTGAAAGGGGGCAGTTCAATCATCCACATTTCATTTTTCCAGGTAACAGGGTATCTATCTATGCATCTAAGTTCCAAACCTACATATTTTTTAATGTTGTAATAATATGTTCCACTTAAAAAGTTCTGAAATAGCCTAGTGACTGTCCTTGGTTTCAGAGAACTAACCTATACATCTATTAAATCAAAGCTTTAAACATTACTAGCACATACTGATCAAGGCATTACAGAATTTACTGTCCAAATTAAAATGCGGTGCGCGCGCGCGCACACACACACACACAGTGAAATCACTATACTTACACACATATGTTTCCTGTAAAACTTATATGTGGGCATCTGTGGGGTTTGCACATCACAGCAACAACAGCAATCTGTAAAAGAAAGATTAACAAAAAAGCTATTATGGAAAAATTACTACAAAATTCTGTAGCCTAGTTATCCCTTGAAGGAAGGAGAGGAAAGCAATCAGGGTGGCACCCTAAGGGCTATTACTTCTTAGGCTGGGTGGAAGGCAAGCTCTTTGCAATATTAATCATCTGTAAAATGTACATATGAATTATACATACAAGCTTTATATATTTTATAATAAATTAAGCACAAAATAAGGAATTGATTTTTAAAGCTACAGTGACTCTTTTTTCATTGATTTATTACTTTTATTAAAATAGCCTAAAAGAAAAAAAGTTACACAATTTTATAAAATTTGATAAAATCCTACCCTCTGTGATTCAAATTCCTCAAAACACAGAAGATTTCAACATTTATAGCAAGGACAGTAACTCTAAGAGCTAAGACTCATCCAGTCAGTGAAAAACAGTCTCAGAGGTGGAATAGAGCTGAGGCGCAGAGAGGGAACTATGTGCGTGCAGAGGCGCGGCGACAGAGGGGTGGGCAGCAGCAGCACACATCAAAGCCACTGCAGTCTGGGCTTCCTGTTGGAAGAGAAGGAAACGGTAAATACAGAAGGGGAAAGAACTAGAATGAACCCCAGGGCTGGGTAGACGGAAATGACCACCGTGAACACAGTGTTCAGCGCATGGATGGACAGAAGTGAGACAAAACCGTGTTACGTTCGAGGGCCCTTGCACATGTGGAGATTCACAGTATCCTGTGATGTTCCTGCCGAAGACGTCTCATCTCAACCCAATTATCAAGGAACATTTAATTAATCTGAATGGAGGGATGTGTGAGAAACTAGCCTGAAATCTTCAAAAGGGTCAAGGTGCTAAGGAAAGGGACGCAGATGTGTCCTGAATAAGGAGAAACGACGAGTCAATTCCATAATCCTCCCTCAGGTCCTCTGGATGTTACTGAAATGGGCAGAGAAACCTGAAAGAGGGACCCGGAGTAGACAGCAAGGTATCCACGTTGAGCTCCGGGTTTGGCCGGCTGCAATGTGATAATGAAAGGAAACGTCCTTGTTTGCAGGAAATGCACATCAAAGCATTCAACGGTAGCAGCTTTGGAACTTACTTTCAGATCCTTCAGGGGTACTTTTAAATTTGCTGTAAGCCTATAATTATTTTTCACAATAAAAATTACTAATATTTTATTTAAATTATTAATCAATGATTTAGAGAAACCTCCAAATAAATAATTTGGCCAGAAAATTCATTTAAACATTGGAATTAAAACTTCAAGATTTTAGAATGGCTATCATAAAGAAATCAACCAACAACAAATGCTGGAGAGGCTGTGGGGAAAAGGGAACCCTTCTGCACTGCTGGTGGGAATGTAGACTGGTGCAACCATTACGGAAATCAGTGTGGAGTCTCCTTAAGAAACTAGGACTGGAAATCCCATTCAAACTGGCCATTCCCCTACTGGGAATTTTCCCGGAGGAACTGAAAACATCGTATCATAGTGATATATGTGTACCTATGTTTATAGCAGCACAATTTGTGATAGCCAAATCTTGAAAACAACCAAGATGCCCATCACATGAGGAACGGTTGAAAAAGATGTGGTATTTTTATACAATGGAATACTACTCAGCTATAAAGAATGATAAACTTGAAGCATTTATATTTAAGTGGATGCCACTTGAAGATATACTTGTAAGTGAAATAAACCAGACCCACATGTGTAAATATCGTGTAGTCTCCCTAGTATAAGAACTCAAAAGAAGAAATACAAATAGAAAAGTGCAACGCAATTAAAAGGAAAGTGAGAACTTGAGGATTGGACAACGAGGAAAGGGCAATGAGAAAAGCTGGCAAACAGGACAGGGACAAAGCCATACATTAATATGCACAAGATAGGCAAGGCAATGAGCCTGAGAAACATCAGCAGGTTTTTGAAACTAGCAGTTAATTGGTAGGATTCTCACCCTGACTAAGTATACATGCTGATACCTGCGAACCAAGCAAATGCACTGAAGGTAGCAATGTGTAATAGAAGGGTCATGCTTGGAATGCCTATCATTCTGGTCTTCTAAATACATACTTCTTGTCATAACATACCAATTATTATCATACTGTCTCACAAGTAAAATTTTTTTAAATGGGTAATAAATGAAAAAAGACATAAGAAAAAGAAAAAAAAGTCATAGGTCTGTCCTGCTACAATGCTATTTATGGTTAGATTTCTAAATTTTTGTGTAAAAATACGTAATATGAATATGTTATTACTATGTCTTTCCCTATTTTGTAAAATGAAGACATCATCTAACCCTCAAGGCTGTTATGAGGGTTAAGTGACAAAACAGTCAAACTGCTCAGCAAAGTGGCTGGCATGTAACACAGAATCACATATGGTGGCTACAACAGTGATGCTCGTGGGATTAATAGTAACAATCATGTACTGCAAGCAAAAAATACAAATACAAACTCAAAATGGGCCATACATCTACTCTAAATGCAAAATTAGAAAACTTACTGAAAGTAACAAGTCCAGGTCATCTTGAATTCATAATGAGTTTTAGATACAAAAGTATAACCCATGAAAGAAAAGAAAAAACTGGCAAGCTAGATTTCATTAAAACTTAAGGGAAGAAAAAGCCTCAGATTGGGAGAAAATAATCTTTAAAATATGCATCTAATTTACACCTAAAAGATACAAAGAACTCTTAAAACTTAGTAAGAAAACAAAAGATTGAACAGGTCTGATTAAAAACATTATGTGATGTGATCAGAATATGGTGTCTAAATTTATGAAAAAATGATAGTGAAAGACCTATTTCCATGTCCTCCTTCCTGATGTGAGCACACTTGTCCCATCATCCTTGCCATTTGCTGAAGCAGCTCTAGAAGACATTTTCATGTCTTTACAAAACGTGATTTAAAAATATGGTGAATCCTGCCACCAAGTGCCACCCAGCAGAAGGGGCAGGCTAGTAAAAACATCACACTGTGTCCTCAGTCACCTTGCTCGCTTGAACTCAGGCTGTACTTCCCCAAAGTCAAAATGTCCACAGAAGCTAAATGATTCAGGACACTGAAGTAGCCATGAGGACACAACTAGGTGCTACTTTTCAATCATACCATGTCTAGAAATGGCAAGTAAGTACTACACAAAGAGATGTTCAATGTACACCGTGAGAGAATTTTAAATTAAAACAAGAGATATCACTATACAACTACTAGAATGACTAAAATATAAAACAGTAACACCAAATACTACTGAGGATGTGGAGCAACAGAAACTAATTGCTAGAGGGAATACAAACCAGTACAGCAAAACTTTGGATCAAAGTCTGAATTTCCATCACGCAAAGGTAAACATACTTGTGCCGCACAACACAGCAATTGTACTCTTTGGTGTTTACCCAAATAAACTGAAAATGTATGTATACGCAAGACCTTCACATTAATGTTCACATCAGCTCTGTGCATAACTGTCACAAACCGGAAGCAATCAAAATTTCATACTGCTAAATGAAAAAAACTAAGTGGAAAAAACTACATATTACAGGATTCCAACTACATGACATTCTGGAAAAGGTAAAATTATGGAGGCATGAAGAGACTGGCAGATGTCCAGTTAGGTTTGCATCACGGGGAGAGATGCATAGTTTTAGGGCAGTGAAAGTAGTTTGCATAGTGCTATAATGTGGACACATGACATTATGCATTTGGCAGAGCCCACAGAATGTACTGAAGAGTGAACTGGAGTGCAGCGCGTAGGCGTTGTTCACTAATAATGTAGGCTCTGTGGAAGAGTGCTTATCTAGCATATGCAAGGCCCTGGGTTCAATCCCCTGCATTCAGCTGTCTATGTGACGGTGTGTTATATGCCAGCCACTTTGCTAAGCAATTTGACAATTTTGTAATTTAACCCTCAAAACAGCCTTTTTTTGTTTGTTTGTATTTTAGGGAAGGATCTACAGGGTGTTCAGGGTCTCACTACTAGTTCAGACATGTAGTGATTTGCCTGTTTACAGCCTCCCAAGAGCTGGGATTACAGGTGCACGCCACCACACCCTGTCTCAAATGCCATCTCAGTGTGCCCCGGGGATGGGGCTGGCATGGGGACTGACCCTCTGGTCCCTCCTGCTTGCAGGTGCTTTAATCCACTGAGCTATTTGGCTGGTCCCAGAATAGCCTCGAACATTAAATAATGTTGTCTTTTTTTTTTTTTTTTTTTTTTTTTTTACAAAATAGGAAAATACATAGTAATTACAAGGGTAGGGAAAGTAGCAAATATTGGTTCCCCAACTATAACAAGTGTTCCAAGCCAACACAAGATACCAGTAATAGGGAGACGGGGCCAGGGGAGAAAGAAGTGTATGGGAACTCTGTGTATATTCTGTTCCATTTTTTTTTAAAATAAATCTGAAATTGCACTATAAAAAACAAAGCACCATCAGAGTAACAGCAAGAATCCTGGTAATGAGATTGGAAGCGTACAGGAAGTGACTGTTCTTGCTATTTTCATAAATCGCCCTGGTGATACTAAGATGGATGTGGTATAGATCTGTTAGAAATGAGGAAAATAATCTAAAAAAGAGCAAAGGCCAAAGCTTTCCTGCCGGTGGTGGGAGGAACACAAGATGTGTTTTTGGAAACCGAGCGGACGATAGCACCAGGAACTAAGAAGGACCAGAAATCTGAGCAAGCACACTTGCAGGTAGTTATGGCTTTACTGCACTTGAGGTTCTGAGGCAGCCAAAGGACAGACGCCTTCCAGGAAATCTGACAGGAGTCTGATGTTCAGGGACAGGTCAGGGTTGCGAGTCACCATACTGCTGAGGAATGGATCATCAGGGGGACATGGGGCACTGTGGGGCTTGAACTCTGGGCTTGTTACCCATGAAAAGCATGGTACGTACTCTGAGCTGCCCCCTCACCTTCCAAACAATCTAACCAACTTAAAAAAAAAAAAAGGTGTATTAGTAACAGCCAGGATGCTGTTGCCATAAACTCTGCAAGGT